TTTTTTTTTTTTTTTTTTTTTTTTGAGATAGAGTCTCTTGTCATTCAGGCTGGAGTGCAATGGCGTGATCTTGGCTCACTGCAACTTCCGCCTCCCAGGTTCAAGCGATTCTCTTGCCTCAGCCTCCCTAGTAGCTGGGATTACAGGTGCCTGCCACCACACCCAGCTGATTTTTAAATTTTTAGTGGAGACAGGGTTTCACTATGTTGGCCAGGCTTGTCTCAAACTCCTGACCTCAGGTGATCCGCCCGCCTCTGCCTCCCAAAGTGCTGGGATTACAGGCGTGAGCCACTGTGCCCAGCCAGTTTCTTACCTTTAAGTATGATGTTAGTTGTTAAGTTCTTCTTTTTTTTTTTTTTTTTTTTTTTAAGTTTTTAGTTTATTCATCTTCTTGTGAAAAATCCCCGGTGGCCACAGATAACATCATTGCAGCCTTTACTCCTTCGGCTTTTTGCCAGCACCAACATTGGCCTTTGCGGTCCCCCTGACTTTCTTCATTCTGTTCTTGCATTCCTTTCATTGCTTTCTTCTCATACAGGCCATGTCTTGCAAGTCTATGTTTGGGTTCATTTTTCTTTGCATAATCCAGGGAATCATAAATCATGCCAAAGCCAGTTGTCTTGCCACCACCAAAATGAGTTCTGAATCCAGATGCAAAGATGACATCCAGTGTGGTCTTGTACATTTTGGCTAGTTTTCCCCGAATTTCTGTCTTAGTCACTGTTGCCTTTCCAGAGTGAAGGACACCAATGACCATTTGTTTCCTCTGAAGTAGTCGGTTGGTCATGAACTTTCTAGTGCGGATAGTTATGGTGTCGTTCGTGAAGGTGGTCTATCTTCACACAGCCAGGGAGGAAAAGCAGTTGTTAAGTTCTTTATAAAGTTGAGGAAGTTCCCCTCTATTCCAAGTTTGCTGAGTTATTTTTACTATGAATGGGAGTTGGGTTTTATGAAATGCTTTTTCTCCATCCGTTTAAATGACCATGTGGTTTTTCTTCTTTAGCCTGTTGATATTATAGATTACATTAGTAGATTTTCAAATGTTGAACCAGTCTTGTATACCTGATATAAACCCCACTTGTTCATAGTGTATATTATTTTCTCCTTCTCTGTGAGTTTTGGCACCTTGTTTCTTTCAAGGTATTGGTCTGTTTGGTCTATTTTACCTTTTTTTGTGGTTGCCCTAGAGCTTGCAACATATATTTACAAGTCCACTTTGAAGTAACGCTGTATTACTTCATTGATAGTGCAAGTACTTTTTAATAACAAAATAGTTCTAATCCTTCTTTTTTCTCCCTTGAGTGTTTGCTGTCATTCATTTCATATATACATAAGTATAATCATTGAATATATTATTAGTATTCTTATTTTGAACAAACTGTTAACTGATTCATTAAGAGTAAAATACTAAAAGTTTTTATTTTATCTTCACTTATTCTTTTTCTGATCAAGAAGAAATTCTTCTTCCTTTCTTTATGTAGACCTGAGTTTCTAAGCTATGTAATTTTTCTTTTCCCTGAAGAACTTTTTTTAAAAAACGTTTCTGACAAGCTAGATCTACTGACAAATTCCTTCAGTTTTTGTTTGTCTGAGAAGGAGTGTTTCTCCTTTAGTTTTGAAGGATGATTTTGCAGGTACAGAATTCTAGGTTTTTTTTTCTCTCTCTCTCAAAACTCTTAAGTATTTCAGTCTTCTTGCTTGCATGTTTTCTGAGAAGTCAGATATAATCTTTTTTTTCTCCACTACATGGTTTCTTTGAAGATTTTTTTTCTGTATCTTTGATTTTCTGCAGGCTGAGTAGGATATGCCTAGGTGTAGTTTCGTTTGTTTGTTTTGGCATTTATTTCGTTTGGTGTTCTCTCAGCTTCCTGAATTTGTGGTTTGGTGTCTGACATTAATTTGGGGGAAAATTCTCCATCATTAGTGCTTCAAATACTACTTCTTTTCCATTTTTTCTCCTCTTTCTGTTATTCCAGTTACATGCATGTTACACCTTTTATGGTTGTTGCATGGTTCTTCAATGTTCCGTTCTTTTGTTTTTTTGAGACAGGGTCTCAGTCTGTCGCCCAGGCTGGAGTATAGTGGTGCGATCTTGGCTCACTGCAACCTCTGCCTCCCAGGTTCAAGCAATTCTCTGCCTCAGCCTCCCGAGTAGCTGGGATTACAGGCACCTGCCACCACACCCGGTTAATTTTTGTATTTTTAGTAGAGTCGGGGTTTCACCATCTTGCTGGTCTTGAACTCCTGACTTTGTGATCCACCTGCCACGACCTCCCAAAGTGGTGGGATTACAGACTTGAGCCACCGCGCCCAGCTGGTGGTGGTGGTTGTTCTTCTTCTTTTTAGTCTTATTTCTCTTTGATTTTTAGTTTTGAAAGTTTTTATTGACATATCCTCAAGTTCAGAGGTTCTTTTCCTCAGCCGTGTGCAGTGTACAGAGTCTATCAAAGTCATTCTTCATTTCTGTTGTAGTGTTTTAGATCTTTAACATTTGTTTTTGATTCTTTCTGCATCTCTGCTTACATTACACATGTATTTTTGCATGTTGTCTACTTTTTTCCTTAGAGCCCTTAGTATCTTAATCAAATTGGAGTTACTTTAAATTCCCAGTGTGATCATTTCAGCACCCATGACATATCTGTCTGGTACTGACGCTTGCTATTTCTCTTCAAGCAATGTTTTTTACTTTTTAAAATGCCTTGTAAATTTTTTTTTTGGTAAGCCAGACATGATGTATTGAGTAAAAGGAACTTTGGTACTCAGGCCTTTAGTGATGTGGTGGTAAGATGTGTGGTAAGTGGAAATGTTCTGTATACCTATGATTAATTCTTAGTCTTTTAGTGAGCCTATGCTCCTGGGCTGTGAACTTTGCAGCTGCTTATCAGTCTCCTCTATTCCCCACTTACATGGGATATGATGGCTAGAGGGGGCTGAGTTGGGTAGTTCCTTTACCCCAAGAGAAAGGCTAGAGGGGCCGGTAATGGGTGTTTACCTTTCTCCAGGTCAGTTAGGCTCTAATTAAGTAGTTTATCTTGAGTGAAGGCTTTGATATGAACAGGATGCTGTTGTGTATTTCAGACTTGTTACTTTTCGTGTATTTCAAAATGGTTGTATGTTCTTCCCCTGCTGGGAGTGAGACAGGAGAAGTTCCCTTGTTCCCCTTGCAGGGCACGCAATAGGGGTGTGGATTGCTTCTTCAGTGCCCACTGGCTCAAACCTCTAGGTGGAGCATGCAGCCGGGCAGGCTGCAGGGCTCTAACCCCACGGCAGTGTCTAGGATTGAATTTTTTTGTTTGTTTGCTTGTTTTTTGTTTTTTGAGATGGAGTCTCACTCTGTTACCCAGGCTGGAGTGTAGTGGTGTGATCTCGGCTCATTGCAACCCCTGTCTCCTGGGTTCAGGCGATTCTCCTGCCTCATCCTCCTGAGTAGCTGGGATTACAGGCACATACCACCATGCGTGGCTAATTTTTGTATTTTTAGTTGGGATTACAGGCACATACCACCATGCCTGGCTAATTTTTGTATTTTTAGTAGAGACAGGATTTCACCATGTTGGTCAGGCTGGCCTTGAATTCCTGACCTCGTGATCCGCCTGCCCCGGACTCCCAAAGTACTGGGATTACAGGCATGAGCCACTGCACCAGCCCTCTAGGAGTGAATGTTTACAGCTGAAGCCCCAGGGGGCATGTGTTACAGCGTGCTCTTTTAGTTTAGCCTTCCGTAGGTGGCTTATTAAACCGCCTGCCTTATGGCAAGGACAGAGAGAACTTTCTGTATCCTGGGTTTCTTGCCTTGGTGTACCAGAAGAATCAGATCACACGTGGGCTTGAATGCAAGGTTTTATTGAGTGGAAGTAGCTCTCAGCAGATGGGGATGCCAGAAGAGATACGGTTTTCCCCTGGCGTCAGGCTGCTTGGTTGCCCAGGCTCTCCTCCGACAGCCCAGGCCAAACTCCACGTCATTCAACCAGTCAGTTGATGGCCTGCCAGTGTCTGTTGGTGTGCTTTTCCATTGGCATCCTCCCCTCGACGTCCTCTTGATGTCCAGCCGCTTGTGTCTTCTTCTGCTGATGTGTTCCTTTTAATATCCAGCTGCTTGTGTCTCTGCCTGTTAGGGTCTTGGGGTTTGTTTTTTGTTGTTGTTGTTTGTTTGTTTGCTTGTTTGAGATGGAGCCTTGCTCTGTCATCCAGGCTGGAGTGCAGTGGTGCGATCTCACCACAACCTCTACCTCCCGGGTTCAAGCGATTCTCCTGCCTCAGCCTCTTGAGTAGCTGGAATTACAGGCACCTGCCACTAGGCCTGGCTAATTTTTTTTTTTTTTTTTTTTTTTTTTTTGGTATTTTTAGTAGAGTCAGGGTTTCACCATGTTGGCCAGGCTGGTCTTGAACTCCTGACCTTAGATGTTCCACCCGCCTTGGCCTCCCAAAGTGCTGGGATTACAGGCGTGAGTCATTGTGCCTGGCACATTACTTCTTTAAGTGTGGTTTTCTTTAGTTCTTTGAACATGTTTGTATTAGCTTCCTTGATGTCTTTGCTGTGTTTGAGATCTGTGCTTTTGCGTTGGCAAGCCCCAACACAAGGGTAGTTTCAGTGATTTGCAAGGAGGACCCACAGGACTGGCTTGTAATTGTACTCATGGATATGAGTTATTCCTGTGAAAGGATACAAAGTAAAATTAGCAAAGATGCCTGCGGCTACAGTTCGTTAGAGCCAGGTGCAAGCCTCCAAGTGTTCTCTTCCAAGTGTGGTCACACAGGACATACCTCATTTCTCCAGGAATGCATTCTGAGAACACATATGAAGTGTTGTCTACTAGGGAAACTCATTAGAGGCTCAGTGACCATAGCTTTTATTGGGGGCTGGTCATGCAGGCACCCTTTGCCTAGCACATAGCAAAATTCCATACCTGCAGAAGGAAAGCAGGTGTTCAGCACAAACCGCATTGTTTATACAGTTTAGCCACAGTGAGCCATTCTTACCAGGAAATAGTGGCAACTCTCTTGAAATCCAGGTTTTCAGATACCAGCCAAGGGCCAACCTTGAAGGCAGGCCTTTTTAAGTCTAGGCCTCAAATGTAAACTCTACACCGCCTTTTCAAGGCATTTTTCTGTTACTTGCTTTTTGGTTTCTTATATGAATCTCACATTTTTTTTTTCTTAATATCTCATACTTTTTGCCGAAACCTACAAATTTTAGATAATATATTGCAGTGATTCTGGATACTTGCTACCCCCTCCTCTACTGTGGGGCTCGTTGGTATTGTTTACTTCTTTGTTATTTGCCAGAACTTATAGTGGGGTTTTTTGTTTGTTTGTTTGTTTTTGTTTTTTTTGAGATGGAGTTTTTGCCCTGTTGCTCAGGCTGGAGTGCAATGGCATGATCTCAGCTCACTGCAACCTCCGCCTCCTGGGTTCAAGCGATTCTCTGCCTCAGCCTCCCGAGTAGCTGGGATTAGAGGTGCCCACCACCACACCTGGCTAATTTTTGTATTTTTAGTAGAGATGAGGTTTCACCATGTTGGCCAGGCTGGTCTCAAACTCTTGACCTCAGGTGATCCACCCGCCTCAGTCTCCCAAAGTGCTAGGATTACATGCGTGAGCCACCGTGCCTGGCTGTGACGTGTTTTTTAACCTACGGTGTGCATCCTTCGGTGTCCCTCTTTAGTGGGACAGCTTTGGGCATAAGCTGGAATGACTGGTTTTAGCAGGGCAGTCTTTCCCAGTGTCTTTTTCTAATTTCTCTGTTAAACTGTCAGCCTCTGTTATCTCACCTAATCATTAGTTTGCACTAATTTCAGACTGATTACTCTATGG